CGCCTTAGGCACTACACCACCAGGAAACCAATGGAAGCCATCTTGGAGACTGGCAGTCACGGGTTACTTTACTTGTTTTCTGCACAGCACTTTTTCCCATTATTAATTTTGAAAAATAGGTCACATGAACACTGTTACACTGTTGGGCATTTATCCCAGAGACATGAAAGCTCAGGTTCCCAAAGACTTGCTCAGACAGCTTGCAGATGTAATCTCGGCCAGGGCACAGACCTGCATGTGTAGAAACTGTTGAACTGGCATGTGTTTTGCTGTATACATTTCAAGCAACAACAACAACAAAAAAAAAAAAGTTACGAAGACAAACAAATGTTCATAGCAACTTGAGGGCAGTGGCTGAAAACTGCAAACGGCTCAGGGGTCCCTGTTGCCCAGAGGCCGAATCCATCCCTGTAGGGTCAGGCAGTTCTGAAACAACCACACAGGTGGGCAGAGAAGAAGTAGAGTGAACAGAAGACCCATGTGGAATGGGCTGTCCGCTGAGGGCAGGGCTGAGGTCCCTGGGCAGTTCGTGGCCCCTGACGTCACAGCTGTGTTACAGCACAGTACCATTGTTGTTCAGAGTGATGTCCTCAGAGCTACCAAGATAAGGTGACACTGAGCATCCATGCTTAAGAGGGCAGGAAGGTGTGTGATCAACTTGAGAAATGTTTGTGTTTGTGACGTTGTGGCCTAGGGTTGCTATGCATTGGAATCGAGTTGATGGCAGTGGGTTTTTAGTGCAGGAAAGTTTGGTTAAGTGAATGATGCAGTTGTGTGGAAAGCCCCTTCCCTAATGGAAAGACCAAAGGACTGTCACTGGGTTGCATGCGTGGTGGCTGTCACACAGTTCTTTGTGTGGGTTGGGCTTTTGCCAGCTGTGATTAAAGTCTTAGAACTGGTTTGTGTTGACTAGGAACTGAAAATATCACTGAGCATGCCCAACAATTGCTGAAAACCTACAAAACCCTTAAGAAGCAGACCCACAGATGCTACCACTGTCTTCTGGCAACAGGAAGGTAAGTGTGAGCTGGCCGCTTTCCAAGTGTTGGGAGAATCATCAGTGAGATTGGCCTGGAGGGGTGGGGGACTTGACCTTTCGGGTGTGTGAATGTTCATTGGACCCTCTGCTAACCTCTCCTCCTGTGCAATCCTGCCCACTTCTTCAGGCGTCCAGGATGGTGGGATGCCCGTGGTGTGTGCAGGTTCTAACCTGGACTTGCATCTTGCTGGGCAGAGTATTGCCAAGGTGACCTGTGTCTCTGCCAACATGCCTGTTTGTGTGACTGATCAGTGTGTCCAAACAAAAGCTCTGTTGTTCAGAAGGTTCTGGCTCAAGATACTTGTGGCCATTGGCAAATGAGAGTGTGTGTGAAAATTTTTCATCAGTGTTTGAAATGCACCTGCATATGCACTTGTCACCAGACAAGCCAGGTAACACTTAGGAAAGTGAGGAAACCAACTCCTAACCACGGCGTAGGTGATCCAAGCCTCCTGCGGCTGCCAGGACAAAGTTCCACAAACTGGGGGGCTTACAACAAGCAGTAGTCGTCTTCCAGTGCTGGAGACCAGGGCCAGGAACCCTCTGAGGGGTCCAGGGGAAGATGTGTCTCGGCTTTTCCTGGCTTCTGCTGGGGTGGCCCCAGGTGTCCTGGGCTCGTGGATGCGGCACAATTCTGTCTTCCTGGGGCTGTCTTCCTTGGTCTGTTTCTCTTCTCTGCTCCTATAGGATCACTGCTCACACTGGATTAAGATCCACCAGGCTCCAGTATGACCTCTAGTTAATTGGTAACATCTGCAAAGACCCTGTTTGCAAACAAGGTCATGGTCACATGTTCACAGGTGCTGGGGGTTAGGGCACCAACATACGTTTTGGGGCCTACAGTTCCACCCACACAAAGGGCTTGGCAGGAGAGTCGTAGTTTAAGGATAGGAGTGTGTACCTGACCCAGATGTCAGCGACTCACTCACTCCTCTCCCGCCTGGGCACTGGCATGTACCACAGGAGACAGACGGGGCCTCTGCCGTCGTTAGGAGATACAGGTGAAGGTGGGGATGGGGCCCTTGGTCAACCTCACTCCGGCACAGAGGTGCACCAGTGCTGAGGTGACTACCACGTGGTCCAGTGACAGAGTGAGAAGCCTTTTAGGGTGGGAAGTCCAAACAAAATCTGACGGCTCCCTCTCCAAGTTGGAAAATTTAGGAATTGGCTCCCCGGAAATCATGACTTGTATGTAGGCATGTAGGCGTGCAACAGCTTTTTAAGGAGTGAATGAGAGATGCCTGCAAACCCGAGCCCGACAGGAAGCTCCTCTGGGCTCAAAGGTGCTCATTGGCACAGGGTCTCGGTTGACCCGCTTTGCCAGAGGTTGACAGATGTTTTCTGTGATGGGCCAAAAAGTGAACCCTTTAGGCTTTGCAGCCAGACAGGCTCTGTCTTAATGCCACCTTTTCCTCATGAAAGCAGCTACAGAAAATACATAAAGGACAACCGTGGCTGGGTTCCAGTAGAACTGTATTTACAAAGAGGTGGTGGGGCAGACTGGCCCGTGGGCTGTAGTTTGCTGCCCCTGCACGAGACGGCCTCATGGCTCGAACGGGCCGAGGGTGGACCTTTGCACTGTCATGCGCTCTCCAAATTGGAGTTTGGGTTAAGCATGTGCAGTAAACCCGCCTCTCCTTGTACTCTTCTCCCCTCCCCCCACGGTTATTTTAATCTTCACTGTTCTTTGGGTGAAAGTTTACAGGACAAATCAGCTGTCCATCCATCAGTTTGTACACACCCATCTTGTTTGGGGACTTTGGGTGCAGCCCCTCAGTGTAACAGTGCTCGGCCCACTTCCTCCCAGCTTCACCGCTTCCATTCCTCCTTCTCGTGCTTGTCCGCTTTTCTATTTTGATGCAAAGATTTAGTATTTCTTTTTGAGGTTACTCTGTGATTTAGAATTTTCTTCCCTAGTTTAGAACAGTCCATTCTATCCATTCTATCCTGCAATTGTCTTGACTTCCCCACCACGGTTTTTTCCCTCTTTTTGCTTTGTTGTTTGTTGTTGTTGTTATGTGCCGTCGAGTCGGCCCTGACTCATAGTGACCCCTCCTTGGGTTTCCGAGGTGGTATCACGACGGAAGTAGATTGCCCCATCTTCCTTCCGAGGGGTGGCCGGTGGGTTTGAACGACCAGCCTTCTGGTTAGCACTCAAGTGCCTTAGGCACTACGCCACCAGAGCTCCTTTTTGGTTTGTAGTCCTCATTTGATGTCCTCAATTGATGTCTCTGTTGCCCTATTTGGAATCTTGTAAGCTTATTTTACTTTGGATATTTTCATAGCTGTGTTGGTTTCTGGATTATGTCATCTTGTGTATTAATGGTCAGTTTGCTATTGTTTGTCCTCTGTTCAAAGGATTCCCTTTAGCATCTCTTATAAAGTTGATATGCTTTTAACAAATTCCCTTAATTTCTGCTTATTTGCAAATGTCCTAAATTTACCATCATATTTGAGGGACAGTTTTTCTGGGTATGTAATTCTTGGTTGGAAATTTTTGTTTTGTTTCTTTGTTTCAGGTTTTATATATACCATCCCGTTGCCTTCTCACTCACATGGGTTCTGCTGAGAAATCAGAGCTTGGTCTTACTGGTTGACTGCAGTTTTATTTGCCTCTTCCTGTTCTGGAATTCCAGCTACATCTGGCTATTCCTTTTGATGGTATCCCACGTGGATCTTAGGCTTTCTTCATCTTCTATTGATCTTTTTTCTGATTGATCCCTTACCAAAGTAGTATTGAGGTATTTATCTTCAATCTCAGTAATTCTGACTTCCATTGACTCGATTCTATTCCTTAGACTGCTCAATGTGTTATCTATTTCTGAAATTTTACTGTTAATCTTCTGGATTTCTATCTGTAGATTTTGTATAATTTCGAATTTTTCATTTATTTTGTCATTTTGTTCTTGTATTGTCTTCTGAAACTGTTCTAGGGTTTTGTCTGTGTTTTCCTTCATTTGGTCAGTGTTTTCCTTCATCTGTCTCTCAATCCATTGAAGGTACCTAAATATAATTCTTTTCAATTCCTTATCAGGGAGTTCCAATGCTGCTGCTTTCTCAGGGATGTATTCTGAGTCTGTATCCTGGTCTCTTGTTTCTACCACTTTATCTTGCTTCTTTGTGTGGACTGTGATGGTCTGTTGTCTCTGAGACGTTGTGGTGATATTGTAGTTATATTTAATTTGTGATTGTATGTTGGAGTGATTCACCCAAGATACTTGTTTTCTTTTGATGTATCTGAGTAAACAGAATACTGTGCTCCTGTGTTCACTACTTGGGAGCACTTATGCACCCACCACCTGTCTCCTTTCCAGTCATCAGCCTCCTGTGTGTCCATGCTGTCCTTGGCAAGCAGAGCCTATTCTTAGGTCCCTGGGATCTGCATGGGAACACTGCCGCTTTAAATATCCAAAGTAGCTACACTACTAGTAAACATTCAAAGTGGCTGCACCCTCTGGACAACCAAAAGTCCACAGCTCCTGTAAAGATGACACCCTTGGAGACCCTATGGGCAGTTGTACCCTGTCCTATAGGGGTTAACTCAACAGCAAAGGGTTTTGACTTCAGTCTGACCTCATGTTCACTGAAAACATCTTCCAAGATCTTATTTCCAAACACGGTCCCATTCAAAGGGACCAGAGGTGAGGCTTCAGGACATCCGGTGGAGGGATCACCATTCACCCCATGACACTGTGTCGCAGTAGAGACGTTAGCCTGTGCCCTTCTCCAGGATGGAGCCATGTGTAACTAGACGTCTGACTCCCCTCCTGTTGTAGCGTCCAGGCAGTGGGCCCAGCTCAGCAACCCGCTCTGTCCAGAGTCAAAGCCCACAGCCCACGTGGAGGACATCTAGAGCCCATGTGCACAGAGCTGTGTGGCCACTGCCCCCACCGTCCATGTTGTAAATACGACCAGTAACTTTCCCGTCTCCTCTCACAGCCTCCAGGTCCCACCCATCAGGATGGTTGACACACCTCTCGTTTGTGACTTTGGCTCAGGTGTCAGCAAGGTGGGCTTTGCAGGAATGGAAGCCCCCCTGGTGGTGTTCCCAACTGTTCTCGGGAAACTACGGCATGATGTGAGTGAGGGGCCCTGCCGGGGTACAGCATAGTTCAGGAGGCCACTTGGCCCAGGTAGCCCCCTCCTCAGGGCTCTGTGAGTGAAAGACTGAGATTGGAGGTGCCCTGAGCTGGCCGTGCATTAGAACACAGCACCCATGGTAGCATGCAGATGGGCCTCAGTCCTGTCTCTGCTTTGGCAGGTCTGGGGTGGGGCCTGGTGGCCTGCCTTCGCACCCCACTGCCCAGGTGGTGCTGTGCTGTGGGTGGGAACACACTCTGAGAACTACTGACTTAGGAGGGTCCCAGGAGGTGTAAATGGTCAACACACCCAGGTGCTCACCAAAAGGTGCAGGTTCGGGTGACCTCAGAGCCTGCAGGTGCCGGTGACCCCAGAGGCTGCTTGGACAGAAGGACCTGCAGTCCCCTCGTGCAGAGCTGGCCACTGCAGACCCCGTGGGGCCCAGGTCTGCAGTGACACACGTGGGAGTCAGAGTGGACTCCGGAGGAGGAGGTCTTAGGGGAGGCAGGTCACTCCCTTAACAAGTGATGTGGGCCAGTGGGACAGAGGATGATGGTACACAGAGACCACAGGCTGTGACCCCATCTGGAGATCCCCAGAGACAGGCATGCATTCGTGGTTCCTGGGTCTGCGGAGATGGCAACGGGGAGTGGCCACCAAAGGGTGTGGGCTTCTTTTGGGGGTGGCAGCCTGCCCATCTGGGACCAGCAGGAGGCCTGGTGTGGGCTGGGAGGCAGCACAGAGGGTGAAAACACACCCAGAAGAACCAGTTTTGTTAGTTCCCAGTTTTGGTTGAGATGGAGCCAGTGGGCTTCTCAGAAGAGCCGCCTCCAACTCCACACACAGCCTCTGTTGCCATTGGTGGCTCCTGGCCTCCAGGCCCATGGAGCCCCGAGCCCAGGAGCTGTGTGCACCCTGGAGAGGAGCCTTAGTGCTGCCCTCAGCCAGTGGCGGGCCTTCCCCGGGACACGCGGGTCTCTGCAGAGTCGCGCTGACTCTGGGTCACGTGGCACGTGTATGTGGGTGTAGCGTGGATTTCTGCATACATTCCACCCAGACCTGGAGTCTACAACTGAGCATTCCTGGGCCAACTGGTAAACCTCCTTAAGGGCAGGGTGAAGAGCTCAGTGGGCCCTGAAGGCAGGCTCACTGCCCTAAATCATGACGGAATGAAGTCGAAGGGCAGACCTTGCCATCCACCTGCCGGAGCAAATGGGGAACACGCTCTCCCCCGGCGCCCCTGTCTTTCCTCAACAGCCTCTCTGTTTCCTTGTCTGTGAAGTGCGCAGGACGAGGGTCAAGGAGCAATCCTTGGGACCTTTGACCTGCAGGTCACTCGCTAAGGATGGCCCTGGGGTGGAGCAGAAGGTTTGCAGCCGAGGTTAAGGCATCAGCTGCTAACCAGAAAGGTTGATGGTTCAAACCCACAGAAGAGAGGTTGGACAGTCTGCTCCCGTAAAGATTCACATCCTTGGAAACTCAGTGGGGGTCACTATGAGTCAGAATCAACTCGATGGTGAGTTTACAAACCGAAAACTTGGTGATTCGAACCCACCGGGAACCAAGCAGGAACGGCCTGATCCACTTGGTAAAGACAGCAGGCTGGACAACGCTGGGGCGGCTCTGTCTGAAACACCCGGGGCCTGCGTGAGTCGGAATCCGCTCGATGGCAGCTAACAGTTCTCTAAGACCTGTCGGTGGCCCTAAGGCGCCCTCACGGTGCAGAGGTTGAGTGCTCAGCTGCTGACCAAAGGCCAGTGGGAACCTACCGGCCGCCCCACAGGAGAACGTTGGGGCGGTGTCCTTCCATAAAGATGGCGACCTTGGGAACTCTAGGGGGCAGTTTTCCTCTCTCCTGCAGGGTCACTGTGAGTTGGAATCGACTCCATGGCAGCAGGTATGGGTATCGGTGGCCACCGTGAAACAGCATAAAGGGTTGAGGAGGTCGTAGGTGCTGTTGACACGTCCCCAGTCACCATGGCTGACCCCCACTCTGTGTTACCGCGCACTGACAAAGACCGAGTGGAGGTGAGTCCAGCCGCCAACCCCACCGCTGCCTCTGAGAGCTGCCCGGGCCTGTTTTCCAGAACGTGCTGGTCGGGATGGAAGAGAAGGACTGGTTCATCGGGGCTGAAACTCAGACTAACCCAGGGAAGCTCGTCCTGCAAAGGCCCATCTCCCGGGCGACCGTCACCAACTGGGACCACATGGAGAAGGTGGGCTGCACCTTCTGTGGGGACGGGCCCCGTCGGCAGGGCCAGGCGGCCTTCCTGCTGCCTTGGGACCCAGGAAGGAGCTACTGCTGGGCCTGAGGGCTGTGCCAGTGCCCCTTAGCTCCCAGTCCCGGAGACGCTGTGTCACACATGGTGCTAACCTTAAGGTTCTGGGGTTGGAAGACCTGGGTTCAAAGCCCATCCCCACTGCTTAGTAGCTATGACATTTGGGCAAATAACTTGGCCTCTTTGCCCCTCCATCTTCTCGACTGTGAGGGGGTCTCATCGTTCCTACCACATTGGCCTGTTCTGAGGATTGAAGGGGCTGGTGGGTTGGAAGTCCGGCACAGCACGGCTGTCATTAGTTGCCGCCGAGTCACCTCCAGCTCACGGCGACCTTGTGTGTGACCAGCACCACTCTGCCGTGTCCTATGCTGTCTGCGTGAGCGCTGGCCTGTTCGGGTCCAGTGTTTGGGCTGTGGTTCTGCCAGCGCAGCTCACAGAAGCTGTCCCTCATTGTCACCGACCCTCCACTTGACCGGCCACCACGTCCTTTCCTAGCCACTGGTTTCCTGACGACATGTCCCAAGTGTGAGAGGTGCCGTCTCTCCACCCTCGCTTCTGAGGGCTATGCTGGTTGGCTCTTAGTCGTCGTTGCCAGCTGCTGTGAAGCAGATCCTGACCCCCGGCGCCTCCGTGTGTGTAGGACCCAAGGCTGTGACCTTTCAGAAGCAGGGTGCCAGGCCTTTCCTCTGAGACACCCCTGGGTGGATGTGAACCCCCAGCCTTTCAGTGAGGGGCCGGGCACGAGTGAGGGCTCCATGCATGATAATGGCCCTTGTTCACTGAGTACCCACTGTGTGTCAGGCATGCCCCAAGGCCTTTCACAGGGGCCTCTTATTTCATCGTCATGAAATATTTCCTCATCTGTGTGGTTGGGAATACTTTTCATGTGAAAGATACGGCGGCGGGTTCATGAAGGTAAACTCGCTTGCCCAGGGCCACATGCCTGGTTAGTGGTGGACTGGCATGTCTGCTCGGTCTGCAGACCCCCACCCTGTCAAGTGACACGCCCCTGCCCTGCCTGCATTGGGCACATCTGCTCACATGCTGGTGTCTGTACCTGTCACTCAGGCAGACCATGGAGCCCAGAGGACGCAGGCTTTTCCTGCCTCTGTCTGCCCCGCTTCCTGACTCAGGGCCTGACGTATGACTGCAGGTGACAGACCTTGTCCAAAGTCACACTCGATCTTTCCTGCTGGTTCATAAAGCCGGAATGCCTGCCTTGGTAACTGTATGTGTTACTGGCACACAGGCAGTTCCTAGCCCACTGACAGGAGACACGGTGCCATCAGTTGACTGTCCAACTCTCTCCTCAGGTCTGGCATCACGCCTTCTACCAGATGCTCCGCGTTGCCCCGGAACACCACCCTCTGCTGCTGACAGAACCACCTTTAACTCCAAGCGCCCACAGAGAGAGAGTCTCGGAGGTAGGGGCCAGGTGGGGGGGAGGGGCCTCAGGGAGCAGGCGAGGAGGCTCGGTTCTTGGTCCCTCCTCAGCCTCTGGGGCCACCTCAGGGCATCGCCTTCTCCTTGCTCAGCAAATAAGGACACAGGTGGGGAAATGACCCCTTTGACATTAACACTGAGAACCGAGGTGCTTGGGTTATTGGTGTTGGAGAAATCACATTAAGGGCAGGGCTTGCACAGCCGATTATGTCATTGCTGTCAGTAAGTTGTCCACCTGTACAAAGCTGAACTGGCAGAAGTTGTGTGACAGACACTTTTACAACAACAAAAACCGCAGCTGCTGAGGCATGCTGGGGTTTGGTTCCCTGGTTTGGATGTATTGGCTCATGCTTCCCTGGGACATCCCAGCTAACTGGCCTAATAGGGTATGGAGTATTTCTGGCCCACCTCCTAGCTTGTTGTTAGCATCTGGGCGCTTCAAAGCTTGCAGGCAGCCATCCGGACACCACAAGTGGTGTCTGTTCACCTGAAGCAACAGAGGAAGGAGAGAGTCAAGACCAGGAAGAGGAGACGGAGCGTGGGGCTGAGTGCCTCACACACAGCTGCCTCCTCTGCATGAGACCAGAACTGGATGGCGCCCAGCTGCATTACACAGCATTTCAGTCAGAGATTCTGTAAAATGATCCTGATCGAAAGGGGGAAAAATCCAGAACAGAATTTCAAATGCCCATAGAATCCAGATGTTCTAGAGCCACGGAGACTGGAAGAATCCCCAAAACTATTGTCCTGAAACGATCTGTCAACCTTCAACCAAAATATCCCCCGGGGTCTTACAGTCCTGCGGTGGTTGAGCTATAGCAGTGAGGAAGGTCCGCCCTGAGTGCTGTGCTCTTTCAAGAACTATCTCTGCGGGGTCGGATTGACCGCAGCAACTGGAGAGGTTCGATGGGAACCCGGGCGCAGTGAGAGCATTTGAATGGGAGGAGCTCTCAGAACAGGAGGGGGCAGGACTCCAGGACTGGAGGCATGTCACCAGCGTCACTGAGCTGTGTGAAGACACTGGAACTGTTGTGTGTGCTGAGTGTATTCTCAGCCCAGGAGCAAAACAAACAAATACAATGAAAGAGGGAAAGAGCGCCAGGTATCATGTGAGCGCTCACTGGGAGGCCAGACGCTGGGCTGAGCACCTAACATCGTGTCATCGAGAGCCCACGGCTGCCGAGGGGCAGGACGATGACACTTTCTCCCCCGTGGGAAGGCAGTGGGAGCGGAGGTGATGCAGCCCAGACACGGGGCTAGTTCTTGGTGGGCCTGCTGACTCAGCCACCGGGTCCCGCAGCCCCGTCCTGCAAGAGCCTGTCGCTGTCAAGGGCATTCTGATCTCCAGCGCCCCATGTGCATCAGGAGCACAACGGTGCTCCGTGGGGGATTTGGAGCCTGGCTTTTCAGGAGGCGTTTGCCAGGTCTTTCTTCCAAGGAGCCCCTGAGTGGACTAGAATCCCCAGCCTGCAGTTGGCAGCCGGACAGGTTAACCGTCTGCCCCACACAGAGACTCCATCGTGTTCTTAGCCAGTGTCCTAGAGTACACTGGACTGAACTGGATCGCACTGGATTGTTCTGGGTAGCACTGGATGGGCAATCTCAGCAAACCCCAGAGGACACCGTCTCATCACAGGCCCCAGAGTCGGGGTGGGGGGCTGGGGCGGGGGCCCAGGTGCGTGGGGCTGCAGGGCCAGCGCGTGGCCGCTGTCTGTGTTCTGGGCAAGTCATTGGCTTCTCCTGACAAGGACGGAGACCAGCTAATGAAGCAGACAGCAAGGCCCCGCCACCTGGCCCAGAGCCTCTGGGCCCCCACCGTGTCTCCTGCAGGGCCAGCCGGGGGCCCCAAGTGCTCCCTGCGCCTGGGAAGGTGGGCACGGCCCAGAAGAGGCAGCGTCATCATCACTGAGTGTGTGCGCAGGGGCCACCTCACCGGAAGCCAGCTCCCACAACCACGTGGCCAGAGGGTCGTGGCCGGGGGGTCCCACCCGGTGGCCCAGGCACTCCTTAGCCTGCAGCTACATGGGTCCACGGGATGGGGTGTGCGTCGAGAGCACCAGGCGCCCCAGGGCCCCAGCCAGTGGCAGGGAGGAAGGCCAGACCGTCCTCACCCTGGGCAGGTGGCTGTGTCAGCCTGTGTCTGCAGGGCTCCCAGCCCCTCCTGGGCTCACCGCCCACCTTTCCGCCCTGAGTCTCTCCCAGTTTCCTCAGTTGCATCAGGCAGGGTCCCAACAAAGGAGCATTCACGGGAATGACTGTGATGGACGCACGTTCTAGGAGAAGCAGCCGGGGCTGGCGCAGTGCACACGGGCTAGCACCAGGGGGCGACATTACCATTCCTAAGCCTGCAAGAGCTGGGGTGGTGGTGACTGGAGCCCAGAGAGGGGCAGGGCCAGCAGCAGTGCAGCCAGCCCCCAGTGCCCTGAGGTGACCTGGCAGAGAGGGAGCTGCTGCGTCAGTGTTGACGGTTGTCATCCTTGAGTTGCCCACCTAACACCTAACACGGCGACCACGTGTGTGCGGGTAGGACTGTGCTCCATACACGTGCTCAGTCCTGTCTTCCCAGGAGCCTCCGCGTGGGTTTGAACCACTGGCTTTCTAATTAGTAGCCCAGCACTTAACGATTTGCACTGCCCAGGGACTCCATGGGACATCAGTACCCAGTTATTCCCTCAGCCTTTCTCCTGCCACCTTCTCCCAGCTCCCCTGTTGGAAGAGCCCTACAGGTTGCCCAAGGAGAGGGGCTGTGGACACAGCCCAGGAAGAGAGTGGTGGAGAAAAACGGACTCTGTGGGAAATCGCATCATGCCTGTGCACCCACCTTCCCCGCAGGGCTCCTCCCTGCCAATCTCTGTGCCCAGCTGCCCGAGCTCCTGCAGGAAGCTGGGGCGTGGGACAGACTGGGAGGGAGAGGGCTGAATTTCCTCCAGAAGTAACTGAATAGGAGGTTTCGATGCCTTGCTGTGCCTCAGTTTCCTCATCTGAAGGACGATCGTGGCACCAACCTGGGGTTTGTTGAGGGGTAGAAGGCGTGAACTGATGGAAAGTGCTTGGAGCAGTGCCTGGCACCTGGACGTGTCCCGGGGCTGCCACACAACTCAGGGCACTTAGAATGACTGAGGTTTATCTCTCAACATCACAGAGGCCAGAATTCGAGGTGTCGGCAGGGCCACACTCTCCAGAGTCTCTGGGGGGGTCCCTCCTTGTCTCACTTGGTTTGTGGTGGCCCCAGGGGCTCCTTGGCGATAGATCCACAATCCTCCCCGTCTCTGCCTCTGTTGTCACGTGTCCATCTCCCCCGTGTTCCTGCACTGTGTCTCCTCTTAGAGGGACACCACTCAGATGCAAGGGGAATTCCCTCTCCAGTGTGACCTCATGTTAATGGAACTGGTAACATCTTCAAAGACCCTAGTTCCATAAACACAGTCACACGCACAGGTTTGGGGCAGATTGTCAGCACCTCTTTTGGGGGCTGACAGTTCAGTCCATAACAGCACATACTGAACATACTGTACAAGCTGGCTGTCACTGTCCTGGGCCTGTTTTCTCATCTGTGAAATGGGAGACTGACCACAGGACCCTGAGGACTTCTGCGTGACAGCTAAGGTTGGCTTTTTAATGGGAGAGGTCTTTGTGCCTTGTGCGTCACAATACCTGACCTCCCACCTCTCACTGCTGCCAACATCCAAATTCCTGGGGCATCTGAGAGGGGCCCAAACTCAAAGATGCTGCCAGGTGCCAGCAGCCACGCCCGCCGTGAGTGTCCTGCCAGCGCCTGGCTTTGCACTGTTCACAGGAGTTCATCCACCCACCTGGGAGTGGACGTCTGCATTGTGTCCGTTTAGAAGCTATTGCAAATGTAGCTGCTGTGAACGTTCATGTCCTGGTCTTTGTAGAGACGTGTGTTTTCATTTCTCTTGGGTCAGCACCCAGGCCCCCCACAGAATGTTGCCCCCTAGTGAGGACTGTGGTGTGACCCAGCAGTCCCACCGTCTGGTATTAGGATCTTTCACATACCTAGTCAGCCTCACGGAGGCTGCCTCCTGGAGCCCAGCAGCCGGCGTTCACCTCCCACCTCGGCCACGTGCAGACTGACATCCTTGTCCACCAGCCTCTCATCTGGACAGAAACCAGTTGCGTCCAGTCACCTCTGACTCACGGTGCCCCCGGTGTGTCAGACTGGAGCTGCTCCGTGGGGTTTTCAGCGGCTGGTTTTTCAGACGTGGGTCTCCAGGCCTTTCAACCTCACACATCGTGGGGTTCTCCACCAGCAGCAAAAGCAGGACTGCCTCTCACTGGTCCACTCCTTTGCCTTCAGGCATATAATTGGAACCCAGTAAATATTTCTTGACCAAGCAACGCCTGTAAATGTCTGGACTGTAATAAGCAGCATAGATGTCAGCTTTGATTGCTTCCATTGTTAGACAAGAATTAAATCACCGCAATTCCAACTGCCCCTCACCCCAAGAGGGCAGAAAGAAGGGTGTGCTCAGTGAAAGGGGGATGGAGGGTTTGTAGGGGTGTGTGGAATCAAGGATCATGACCATGGTGGTACGGAGCCCCAGGGGGGCAGTGGGTCAGTGCTTGACTGCTAACCGACAGGCTGGGGGTTTGAACCCACTGAGCAGCTCCGTGGGAGAAAGACCAGGTGATCTGCTCCCACTGCCCCCTACGGGCAGTGCCACTCTGTCCCGCTGGCTCACCACGAGTGAAAAGTTGACTCACTGCTGCCTGACAATCACAGCTGTCATGGCAAAACTGGTATACCATACGGTGCCAGGCCCCCTAGTCAGCGTCTCAGGCATCTTGTGAGGTGGGTGGGAGGGGTGAGCCCATTTCACAGAGTGGGAAACTGAGGAAGTCACTGGGCTAGTTAAGGGCAGAGCTGGGGGGAGAAGGAACATGCTTCTGACTCCGTGGCGTGGGGCTCTCTGTGGGCGCCCAGGCGCCTCCTGGTGTTGGAAGTCCTATTGGACTATTCCTTCTCCTCTCTCTCTGGCCACCTGCTGACAACTGCGACTTTTTCTCTGTAGATCATGTTTGAGACCTTCAATGTACCTGCGCTGTATTTGGCCAACCAGGGAGTCCTCTCTCTGTATGCTTCTGGCAGAACCACTGGTGAGTGAGAGGCCCTGTGTGAACCCTGTCCCTGGATCTGACACTCTTCCTGTCCCTCTGGCTGGTGACACTCAGAAAACTCCAAAAAAGCTGCACCCTCCAGCCCTTGTTCTAACTGCATTTCACTCCCCCGGTCACTTCACCACATTAACTCACTCGCCTCCCTTTTTTTCCTTAACAGCTTTATTGTGGTCCAACTGATGTATAATAAGCTGCCTGTATCTAAAGTGTCCTATGTGATAAGGTTTGACATATCGACACCCTTGTGAAGCCATTACCACAACCAGCATCGGGAACACACCCACCAGCCCCCCAGAACCCCTTTGCCTCTGTGGGGTCTCTTGCACCAGCATGTTCTTCCTCCTTTTCTCTGTCCTCAGAAAAGGACCAGTCTGCTTTTTGTCCCTACAGAGTAGTTTGTCATGAAGATGGTGGGATAGGCAGATAGGCTACACAGAGCTTCTTCAGCAGGGAAAAGAGAAATCAGTTGGCACAGACACGGACGGTACTCCTGGAGTAGTCACGGACGGTAGCCCTGGAGTAGACACGGACGGTAGCCCTGGAGTAGTCACGGACGGTAGCCCTGGAGTAGACACGGACGGTAGCCCTGGAGTAGTCACGGACGGTACTCCTGGAGTAGACACGGACGGTAGTCCTGGAGTAGACACGGACGGTACTCCTGGAGTAGACACGGACGGTACTCCTGGAGTAGACACGGAGGGTAGCCCTGGAGTAGTCACGGACGGTAGCCCTGGAGTAGACACGGACGGTAGCCCTGGAGTAG